TTTTCTTTGAAAAATGATAAAAAATAGCAACACCAATGGTTTCTTTAGTTTTTAGCACATTTAGTTTCCAAAAGTCATAATTTCAACAAACCTCAACAAGATTTCCATTTATGTAGTTTGTATTTCCAGCTTCAAGCTCAACCCTTGAGTGGTCATCTGAAAAATGAGAGACCATAAATTGTCAATGCAATGGGTGACTTGACTAAGTGTTTAATTAAGAGCATACATAAAGTAACTGCTTGTAGACAGACTGACTTATAAGCAAGAATGCTGACTTATAAGCAAAAACAACATACATGGCAGGACATCTCTGTATCTGTTCAAATTCCTATGCTCTGGTTGTCTAGCTGCTTTCAAGGTGAAGTTTTCTACAACTTTTCTGGTCTCCAAATTCAATACCTTCAAGAAAAAAAGATAAAATCAATGCCAAAAAATCTTGTTCGTTGTATCAAATTTAGCTGGAGACTAAGAGTCAATCAACATATTCCTATAGAAAAATTACTTTGATTAAAAGTAAATGAAAAAGGAGAGGCATGTGTTATTCAAATTCATGTATTTTATTCACTGGACAAAGTATATAATAAGTTAATATAACATTATGAAAGTTAACTGTTATGTAATGCTATAGAATTAAAGTCTACATCAGTAAGTAAATCAAAGGTTTACAGGTAGTTTAACGCTGTTGAATACATGGCAGAACTTTTAAGAACTATAAGCATAACTAAAAATAATATCATCTTAAAGATGGATGTGGAAAGGTTAGTCAGAGCCTTACTGAGCTTCTAACCCATGATCTAGAAAACATCATCGTCTCAAGATGAAAAATTTAGACTGAGGTATTCTTATAAGCACTGGCAAGAAGAACTTCTTTGGGACGAAAACCATCAACATCGGTACAGCTGTTGACAGTGCTTTTCTATCTAATATTTTGCAGTCTTGTGAGACACCAATGGTCAGCCAAAATTTTATACAATTCTTCCTTTAAAACACTTGGCAGCAATGTCAATATTGACTATCAACTCTTTCAATCTAGATTTGGTTTTGGCACTGCCAATTTAAAAGCTGACCTGGTTACACTCAGGGTCAGCTTTTCTGTGCCAACCTGATTATTTTTCATGATCTGTGCCAACCTGATATGCCAAAATATGATTCAAAAATTGATTAAGAAGAGTTTTTTCTTTTCCTTGGAGTATTTTGTCAAAAGATCATCAGTTCTTCAAAATGTAATTGGCTATTTCTATAAGCCCTAAAAAAGTCAATCACTCATTTTGAGTAAAATAGTTGTTGAGCATCCAGCTCTATATTTGTACCACATTTTTGTGGATAACAACAATGAAGATGATCTTTATGAGGTTCCTACTTCAACTGTTTCAAACGCTTCCAGGGCCTCTAGCATTGGTTTATTATAACTCCTAAGTCCCTTAAAACACAGAGTGGAGTTAAACGAAAATGTCTTGCATTAAGCCGTAGTCTTGTCCCTTATGCTATAATCAGTTTCTAAAAGTTTTGTATGTATGGGTAGTTAGAGGTCCCAGGCCCACATGCAATATCTGTGGGCTTTTCATATTCCTGAAGCAGACAAAAATGTCACAGCCAGGCCCCTGAGCCCATGGAAAAACCTAAATTCACACGGGATTGCGCTGATTTTAAAACAAAAAAAAGATTTTTCTGTTCAAGGTTGATTTATGTGTAAGTGTCAATTCTGGGGAAAGGGTTATATTGATTGAAATCGAGAAAAAGTTTCTAAGATTGAATCTCCCTCCCCTTCCACTGTAGTAGGCTTGATGTAACCTCATCATAATAATTTAACCTCATAATCATATGTGTCTAAGTCATATAGTTTTTTGTGTTAAGATCAGTCAATTGCTAATCTCACACACGAGTCAGATGTTATTCTTTAAGTCATCTTTCATCCTCAAGTATCTAGATTACTTTAGAGTTATAGGACACAATATATTCTGTAAAAACACTTAAGATTGCAAAGCATACTCAAGTTTATGCTACAAATGCAGAGGTCAGTTATTTTTTTGTTTCTATTGCTATTTCTTCAATTGTCCCTCTATTCTTGGAAGCACTAGACTGATGTGAAATGCTGATAGATTCTACTGTAAAAAACAATGACTTGGTATTTTTGAAGCAAATCTTAGTTTTACTTCCATTTTCAATGGTCTTCCATATCCAATTGAAGGACAAAGTCTAATACCTCCTTACCCTCATCTTCCATTGTTTGTATCTATATTTAGGTTGCAAGAAATTTTATGTAAGGCTGACAGCAAAGCACCTCGAAAATCCAAAGAAAACATGAATTCCCAACACTGCCTGTGTCACCGGTAAATGTTCAGCAAGGATTGATTTTAAAGCTCGTAACCACTAAATGAAATACATTGACATTCAACTTTCAACACAAAATTGGTAACAAATATGTCATTTGGCAACATGTAATGTAATGCTCACTTGCTTTGTATGGTATTGATGTATGGAATATTTGATTAATTCGAAGAATAAAAACAAAACGGAGAGACCTTATTGACATAATTATACAGTCGCGTCAAAACACAGTGTAAACATATTATCAATGTTATAACAAAAACATTAATAGTGCGAGCAAGGCACAACTCCCTTAATCGATTTATACCTTTCACAAAACGCAACTTATTTGCAAATAAGAAATTTATGTTTGTGTGTGAGACTTTATACTTTTTCCGCAACCAAAAATTGTACAATATGAGCGACGCTGAACTTTAACCTGCCAAATACACCCTAAAGATTTAGGATTTTAAATATAGACACTAACTTAGGAGGCATTGTGTAATTTTTTCAGCTCTGCATAGGCATTAGAACAAGGATTCATTCAAACCGCGACTTTTTACTAAAGAATATTGGGATGCAGGCAGATGCTAGGCCGATAGGAAAAACGGTGCTTAAAATGGTTCAACCCGTACCTGAAATGTGTAATTCCATCTTGCACTCCTGTCAAGTTTCTGAACTTCCTCGACAAGGAACATTTTCAGTTTTTCAAAGTAACTCTCCTTTTGTTCCTTATTCCATCAGCATATTGCAGTCAATGCACAGTAAGCACAAAATCTTTGAAAACACAAATTCCATTTGAGTTTTTACGATGCCTCTGCATCCGTAAGAGGCATATACTTCATGTAAAGATGAACAAAGATGCTGGAAATTGACCCAGGGGGGGGGGCATACATTCGTGGAGTCGTGATGGTTCTGATGAAGAGGAGTGGTTTGAAATAAATGTTGCATATAAAATAGATTCTGTATCAATAGAAGGTTAAAACAAGTTATTTTTTCGATAATGGATTTTAGACATTAAAAATAGCTTTATGAAAGAAAACGAATGCCAAAAGGCCTACAAAGCCATATAAACATACTGAATTTCTCAATTCATCTCACACCTTCGATCTCATTGGAGCATTTTTCATTATTTGAAGTCCTGCATCAGCAACCTACATTCAGATGTGCAGTGCTATGAAAAAAAGGGAGCCCTGTCAAAGTGATTCTCAATAAAAACAATAGCGATGATTATGAAAGGGTTACTATTACAATCATTTCATATTTTTTACGAAGCGGACGTTTTGCTAGTGTTGCTATAAGGTTTGGCTATTTATAAATATCGTCACGTTGTGATGCTATTATAATCACACAAAATGCGATAATAGTTTGGGCAAGTCATTTTTGCAGCTTCATTGTCAATCATTGCTTTTGTAGAAATTCAGCATCACGCAACGAGAAGAAATTGTCAAATGCGATCAAAATAAATCACTTAACCACGTGTCATTACTATCATCAAATGAACTAACAAACGAACAAACCGACAAGAAAATGACAAAGTTAAATTACGAAAATAAGGCTACCGTACAAAAAACAGCTTATAAAATTGACAGCACGGCAGACAATAGCAACTATTCATTGCTGTTGTAAAATTCATTGCTGTTTTTCCAATTTTTTCGCTGTGCTACTTTCCACTTTGCCAAACCTGAATGAAGTATATCTGGAGCATAGGCTACCTTGCATTGGTTACTATACCCCCTGCCCCCCAAAATACTTGTTCTTAAAAGCCTTCCTCAAAATTATTGGATAGACTAAAGTATTTACAACGAGGTTTCTCGCCTAAGTATTAAATTAAATAAAGTATAATGGGCTAGTTAAGCCTTATCATTCGCCTCCTTAAGTACCAGAAATAAGCCAGATTTATGGCTGTCGGGTATTGGCGGGCCCTCATACAAAGGCGTAACAGGCCACATCCTGCGGTGCAAGCGTTTTCGACGTTTTCAATTACACGCTTTTTTTTTATAAGGAACCTAGCTCGGGCCTAGTTCTTTAAATTCCTTATTTTGAGACCTGTTTTGACCACTTTGTAGTTCTAAAAGTTCCTTAATAGTTCCTTAATTTTAAGTTGGCATTTAGTGGACAATAATTAGTACAGACGCAAGAAAAACAATCAAATTCAGCGTTTTGCTATAAACTTAAGAAAAGATAACAAGTTAAAACACAAAGAAGCTTCATATAATATAAAATTAATAATAATAGTCATTAAAGAAGTTGCATATCCACTCCATTGATGTCGTCTGACACAATGTAGTCTTCAGTACCGTCTTCGAAAAAAACTCTAAACTCTCCCAGCTTGGTGTTGAACCACTTCACTTGTCCAGTGTGCCATTCGTCGTAGAATGCGCGTATTTTTTTATTAATCAACTCATGTTCGTAGACACGATCTTTTACATGGTCTACTCTTTCATGCTCAAGCTCGTCAGGCTCAAGTTCTTCATCCCCTTCATCTTCTTCATCACTTACATCTTCCTCACAGGCTGCTGAGGCCTCTGGTATTTGTACAGACAGTGGATTTTCGGGGCCAGTCACAGGCAATGGTGGTGGTATTGAGTACCCAATCAGACCTTCAGGCAGAATTTTCTTGTCCTCCGACCCATCAGCTTTAATATCTGATTGGGCACTTTGGTCGAATTCGGGGTTAATCTTCCTAGCATTTGCGTACAGCCATGCAAAAGATATTCGCATCCCCTTTGATCTTGCTTGTAGGAACTTTTCGTGAAGCATCACGAAGACTTGCTTATGCCTTGTGCTGGGTCTGATCTTTTTCATCATTTTCCTGTGGCTATCGGCGGCTGCATCAGTAATTTTCTTCTCATTTTTAACCCAGGTCGATACCATCGATTTAGAGATGTTGTATTTGAATGCAACGTCATTCTTTTGGTTTTTCTTTGCTTCCTCGATAACTTTTAGCTTAAATTCGGTGTCATAAGATAGTCTGTTCTTCTTCGCTCGATGGTGCTGACTGCTTTCTCCTGCTTCTGACGCTCTAGCACTTTTCTCTATCTCTTGACATTCCTCTACAGTTTCTTCGATGTTCTCATCCACATCAATAGCAGTTGGTTCTTTTTGTGGCTCAACAGCCTCGGCGCTACTTTCCAAGATCAATGGAATTTCATCGATTTTTTTAGTTGGTTGTTCTTTTTCTCTCTCACTGTCTTTTTTCGAAGTGCACCAAGACACGTGCATCGTAAGG